ATATATATATATATATGTGTGTGTGTGTGTGTGTGTATGTGTGTGTGAAGAGGGAACAGTTTATTTCTGAAGTAAATCTATTTAAATTTATTTTGTTTAATACTTCATATTTTATATCGAATTTCAACAATCTAACAGTTGAATTTAAAATTTTTAATGCATAGATTAAGTTTACAATTTTTTTTAAAAATTAAAAATAATTTGATACTTTATTTCATTAATTCAAATCAACGTATAAAATGATTTTATGACTATCTGTCAATTTAATTAATAAAATGAAGTATCAAATAATTTTTAAAATTTTTAAAAATTTGTAAACTTGATTTATGTATTAAGAACTTTAAATTTAACGATTAGATCATTAAAATTTGATATAGAACACGAGTTATTGAATATAGTAAGTTTAGGTAAACTTTCCTTAAAATAAATGAATTTCTCTCTATATATAATCATATTTTATCCATCAATTTTATTGATAACTTTTATATCTCAAACTATCTTAAGTGAGATATTTTTCACAACCATATTTTTTCATTTTAAAGATTCAAAAATCTAGTTTCACTCAAAATGACAAAATATACTTCCTTTATTCCATAATATGTACCCATAAGAAAAACAAATAGAATAAGTGTTTTAGTTTTTTGATATAGTATTAATTATTCTTTTTTATTTATATCCCTAATAATATTATTTAGAAAGTTTAGGTTAAATTTTTTAAATTTATTATTCTCCTTCCTTTATTTATTTTCATTTGTATAAAATAACATAAAATGATAATTATTATAAAATTAAAGGAGTATTTTTCTAGTTAACACTGTAAATTTACATTTTATTCTTTTTAAAGTAAATCTTCACTTTAGGAGGTGGTCGTAAAAGTATCTTAACATGCACCCAAGTGAGTAAGAATAGCGAGTAAAATGGGTGGAGAATGGAAAGTTTTATAAGGAATATACCATCGTATTCGAAGACCTAACAATTAATTTATAATGGGAAACTGAGTATGTTATAAGAGTCCGTAATGTAACTTTTGCCCCTGCGATTACCATTAATGAGAATCATTAGTTATAACTACTATAATAATATATTAAAGTTTAATATTACATTCCATGAGTAGACTGATAGACTAGGTAAATAACTAAGTAGTTCAATAACTCGAGTAGTAAGTGGCCAGTTAAAATAAAATTACAAAAATTATCATACGAATAATACTATATTCTCATAATAATTAAATGTCAATAATTTATTAAGAATATCACATGAAAAGTGAGATACATTTAATATTTTAAAAACATAAAAATATTTGATATTAAATTTAATTAATAGTTAATAAAATTATTAAGAGAATGTTGTAAAGAAATTCAGAATTATTATTATTGATACAACTCATTAGTTGTAAGATCTTGTGGCACGACATTACCATTTAGGACCATAATTAATTACACGTACATTAGCTATGATAATTTGATGGAGTCTGATTTAATGGCTAATTTTATTGGTTTGGTCGCCTAAGGCGGGGTCAATTTCTGACGGGTTACCCAAATTGCATGTATAAATAAGATTTTGGGGCTTTTGGTTTACTTTCCTGTGCATGAACCTTTTTTCCTGGTCAAACTTTCTTGAAGAATCTCCATAAAATATTTCTGCTTAGAACATGCGGCGCTGCCAGTAACATGAGAGCAAGCAAATAAAATTTAATGAATCCAAGGATATTTACACTTTGCTGGAGAGGATGAAATTAGAGGGAGTGTACACCAGGAAATGAGAAAAATAAAAAAAAGTTACAAAATGGTGTAAAAATTAAAATTGTTTAGTTAAAGAGATTAAAAAAAAAAATTGAGAGAAAATAATTTTTTTAATTCATTTCTTTTGGGCTATATAAGAAATACTAAATGAAGTTGTTAATTAAAATTCAAATTTGTCTTCTACTTGTAAATGCATTTTGCATTTTTTATATTAAGTTTACAAAACCGATTATACTTTTAGTTTATATTAATTAAAAGAATTTCAGATTAAATAAATAATTTTATATTTATGTTTTATAATTTACTTACATAAACTTTAAATATCCATATTTTTAAAAAGAGGCAAATTCCTTTTTATGTTTAAACATTTTTCTGTTATTGATTCACATCATAGCGCAAAAAATATATATTTGAGTTA